AAAAAAAAAATTTAAAAAGAGAATAGATTTTAGCGCTTGGTTATCATGCTTTCGAACAGTAATAGAATCTCAGTGCGTGCACCCAGTTTCTTTCATAAGCAGGCGGCAGGATTCCCACATGGGGAGTTTTTCCAAGAACAAGCATTATGAATTTTGCTTCCTGGGAAGCCCTCTGGAAATTTCTCATCCTTGAGTAAGTGCTGTTTCCTTAAGTTCTGAGGAATGTCAGTTTCCTTGCCTTTTCATCAGTTTTAGCTTTTTTAGTACAGCCAGGTGGGTTGATGCTTAGGCAAGGCAAAGAGCTGAGTGATTGGTTTGAGTCCAGAGGACGGCTGCAGAGTTCTCGTTCATTCCCCCAGCCGACCGTGAGTCTGTCTTCTCTTTCAGGGGCCAGGTCCTTCCTGCCGCTTCTCTGCTGAACATCGTGGATGTGGAATTAATTTATGATGGTGTTAAGTACATTGTCAAGGTGAAGGCCCCGGGTTTCTCGGATGTCTCCAACACTCTGGAGGCTGGTGGGAGTTTTTATTTCTGCAGTGAGCCATGCCCGGAGTGGACTTGCTCATGCTTGGGTCCCGGGACGCCCCAGGCAGTCCTGTGATCTTGAAACCTAAGCCCTTTGGGTTTCAGAATGCACAGACTTGAGCGATAGGCACAAGGTACGACGGAGCATGTGTTAGCGTCCTGGGGCCGCAGTAACAAAGTACTGTAAGCTGGTGGTTTCAGACAACAGAAAGGTTATGTCTCGCACTCCGGAGGCCAGAGTCTAAAATCCAGGTGTCCACTGGGCCCTGTTTCTCTGAAGTCTCCAGGAAAGAATCTGCTTCATGCTTTCCTAGCTTCTGATGGTTGTGGGTGGTCCTTGGTATTCCCCGGTCTACAGACTGTCACCCTGGTCTATGCCCCTGGCTTCATATGACCGCCTTGCATGTGGGTATGTGTTCACAGTGTCTTCCTTCTGCACTGGGTCTCTTCTCAGAAAATCACCAGTCAGATCGCATTTAGGGCCCACCCTCCTCCGGTAGGACCTCTTTCAAGTAATTACACCTGCAAAGACACTATTTCCAAATAAGGTTCACATTCTGAGGTGCCAGGAAGGACATGAATTTGGGGGGATGATACCCAGTCCAGTACAGAGCATGAGCAGGACCTGTGCTGAGCTGGCATAGTGTGTGGGTCCCTTTCCACAGGGCTGGTGAGGCCAGCTCTGCACCGAAGGTCAATGTGTGGCTTTCTAATCTCTCCCTGGCCCACCTTCAGGGCTTTCCTGAAGGTTACTCGGGGTGGCTGTCCCTTCGGAAGTATCTGGTTACCCTTGCTGGGGCACCAGAGGTCAATTCAGCAGAGACTATCAGGGAGTCTCTGAGATGTGCAGTCACAGGGTCAGGCCCTCGTTCTGAGTCGGGGTGACCTGCAGGGCCAAAGTGTCCCCAAGAAGCTAAGGCGGCCTTTAGGGAGGGAAAGGATAACCGAACTTGAGTCAACTTTTGAGGCAGAATATTTATTTTCTGTTATCTTATCTTTAAGATCACTGAGCACTTTACGCTTCCAACTTTGGGGTTTTTCAGGTTTAGTTCAGCCAAACGAGCGTGTTATCCGTGCGGGCGTGCTTATAAAACCACTTTTTACCCCTCCATGCTGCTTGGCTATTCTGGGGGCCCTGGTTCCCCCAGTGTGATTTTTAAATATGGCACATGCTTATTGCATAAAAGTCAAAAGTTTCAAACAAGCACAAAACATCAAAAGAGCAAGCCCTTCAGGTGCTGACTCCGGAAGGCGATGATCCCTATTAACGTCGTAGCAAATCTCTTCAAAATTCTTTTCCCCTTGGGCATCGATTTTGCACATTGAGATCATGGTGCAAATACTGTTTTACTGCTTTGATATTATTACGGCATGATGTTTTCCCCTGTTAGTAACAAGGCTTCTTATATCAGGTTGTTGTCTCTAATGCTGTCCAGTAGAACTTTCCGTAGGAAGGCAAATGTTCTGTATCTGTGCTGTCCAGTATGGGGCCACCTGTATCTACTGAGTGCCGAGGAACTAAATTTTCCTTTTTTTTTTTTTAAGTGAAATTAATTTACATGTAAATAGCCAGCCTAGCCAGGGGCGGCCATGTTGGACAGTGCTGGTCTAGAGTGTTCCGTTGCAAGGTCGTTAGATGGCTAGTTTCTCAGTCTTCCTGTTGCCACGAATAGTGTTGCAATAGACATTCCTATACTTCTTAATACCTTTTGTGTCCACATGAATATTTTACGGGTCAAGGGCTCTTTAGGGTGTTTCGTGCTCTGAGAGAGAGCACTCACGTCGAACCGAGGGCTAGTATGTCCGGTTGAAGTACAGAGCTGAGGTCAGGTCCTGGCCACCTGTGCCTTTCTCGAGCGTCCCAAATGTCCGGTGTGCCCCCGGGCAGAGCCGGGTCTGAGGAGGACAGAGTCCTGGTCACTGCTGGAGTCTCCAGGACTGCCTCGCTCCCGGCGAGACCCCCACCGCATCTCTTTGCTACTCAGGGTGGCCCTGCTTGATGGGGCTGATGCTTGAAGACAGGAATCGGAAGGGCAAGCGATTGGTGGGGATGTGGCCAGGCTGGAACTCCGCCTGTAGCCAGTGGCCATCAGGCCACCCAGGGGACAAGTGTGGCACACTGACGCAGGCCCTCTGCAGCTCCAGCAGCGGCTCCCTGGGGGCGAATGAGGGCCGAGACTGAAGAGATTGCAAACGTCCACCGTGGCACTCCCACTGTGGACGCTAGCCCTTGCTCGTGGCGCCCTGGCACCCAGGGACAAGCGGGCCTCCTGAATTCGGGCAGGGACACTGAGCCTGTCCCTACAGGTGGCCCGGCAATCTCTGACCACGTTCGTCCTGATCATGAACGGCTGTCACATCGAGATCGACGCCCACCGGCTGAATGACGGCGGGTTACTGCTGTCCTACAATGGCAACAGCTATACCACCTACATGAAAGAAGAGGTTGACAGGTACATGGCGGGGTACACAGAGCCGCGGGTTGAAAATACAAAGCCAGCTGTGTGCAGCCCAAGAGTCTTCGATAAAGTACCGTTTCCAGTAAATTCTGGGGCCCGTGGAGAGGTTAATCTCTTGGCTGGAAATCCACCAACTGGCAGACATTTGGGGGGAGGCTCCCAGGATGCCCGTTTCTAGTGACATAGTGGGGTTCAGAGCCGGATGGGATGCGACTCCCAGCTCCGTGGCCTGCGAGGCGTGCGACAGTGTGTCAGCTGCCCCTTGTCTGAGCTGCGGTGCCCACACCGGGCTGAGCGCAGGCTTGGAGGAGAAGCAGCCGTCCAGTTAGGGCAACGGCTCCTCGTACCAGGCACGGAGCTAGGTGCTGGGATGAGACCGTGGTCACGACCCATGGAGCCTGTTGGCGGATGTGACACATTAAACAAGCAGAAGTGGCAGGAAAGGTCTCTGTGCACGTGAGTGGGTGAAATACAGCAAGGAGACCCAGGAAGCACGTAGCAGGGCGGGCATCACGAGATAGACCCAAAGACCCTCCTATTCCAATGCAGCTGACCACACTGAGCTCATACAGTGAAATGCGGACCAGCCCTGACGAGCAGGCAGTACAGACCCCCTCTCCCGCTCCAGCCGAGGGGAATCAGGCCCAGTGCCTGCGAAAGCTCCGCTTAGAGAGTTGTCTCCCTTCCCAACCTTCGAAGTTTTGGAAGAAGGCAGACTGGATTCGCCCCAGCCAGAGCACTATTTTATTACCTCTTTTTCAGCCATGTTCTGTCTGCCAGGAATGTTCAAGGTTATTATAGGCTCCCCCCGGGGGCATACTCTCCCCAGTTCGGTTATAAGGCGAAGACTTACCATTGGTAACTATGTATCGAATAATATTGATTGCGTTCTCTGTGCCTGTTAGAATTCTATCAGTAAAAGGGACTTGTTTTCAGCCAGAAAAGGGTCACACCTTTTGCTCACCCGCTTCATTCCCAGTTGTCTCTGCCGTAACCGTCAAAGGCTAGCATTTGGGAAAGTTGGAATCCAACAGACCACGTGCAGGGTCATGCTCATGGCTGCCTCTAGGGAGGGGGAGATACCGTCCAAAGCCTGACTTGGGCATGCGGGGTGGATGGTCCTCCCCATCTACCCGCCTGCCCGCCCCTTCTCCCTCCCAGTTACCGTGTTACCATTGGCAACAAGACCTGTGTGTTTGAGAAGGAGAACGATCCCACGGTCCTGAGGTCCCCTTCGGCCGGGAAGCTAATACAGTACACGGTGGAGGACGGGGGCCACGTCGAGGCTGGGAGCAGCTACGCGGAGATGGAGGTGAGCACAGAGCCCGCCCCTGGGGTGAGGCTGCAGCCGGGTCTCCCCTCCCCCCACTCCCCAAGGGAGGACCATCCGCCATCATCCAGTCTACACCTCTCCCCTGGGCTGCCACCTGCTGACCTCCTCAGAGAGCCAGTATGTGGGGTTCGGCCCAAATTCTCTCCAGTGTTCAAAGGGAAAACCTCCAAAATGTACACTCTGCAGGAACGCGTGAGAACTGATTTTTTTTTTTAAGCTTATTTTTACTTATTTTGAGAGAAGGACAGGAGAACAAGTGAGAGAGGGACAGAGAAGAAAGGGAGAGAGAGAATCCCAAGCAGGTTCCACGCTGCCAGCACAGAGCCCGATGCGGGGCTCAAACTCACGAACTGTGAGCTCATGACCTGATCTGAAGTCAAGAGTCAGACGTCTAACTGACTATGCCACCCAGGTGCCCCAAGAACTGATTAATAATAATGACGGTGATGACTTAACAAGCCGTAGGCCAACACTTATAAAGTGCTTGCCTGTGGCAGGTGCTACCGTGGGCATTTTACGTGTCTTTAATTACCTTCTGTAATCTTTCCGGCAACAGTCATAGGAGATGGGCACAGAGAGGATTCCCACATGACACATGAAGAAACGGGCCCAGGCAGGCCGAGGAACTCACTCAAGGTCACACAGAGCTAGCTAGGGTTCACACCTGGCCTCCATGCCACGCTGCCACGGTAAATAATACGATGATGGCAGTGAAAATGCGGCGGCTGTAGGAGGTGGTCCTTGCTGACCTCCCGCCATGTGCCAGGCTCCTCGAGTAATCCTGGTTACTCAAGAGGCCTGTGAGGCGTGGCTGTCTTCCATTTTATGGTTGAGGAGAGTGAGGCTCAGAGAGGGCAAGGCACCTGGTAGAGGTCACGGAGCGATGGGTGGGGTGCTGGGCTCCAGCCCAGGTCTGTCTTGGGCGCCCAGGCTGTGAGCTGCTGACCTAAAGGGTCACAGTGCCGGCTGCCTGCAGCCCACGCCATGGTGGCAAAACTCGTCGTGTCTGTGTTGGCAGACCGTCAGGCCAGTCAAAGGGGCTGGTGACTGTGCTGGGAGCCCTTTCTTCTTGCCACCGAGTGTTCCCCAGAGGGTCTTCTCACTGCCCTTAAGAAAGGAGCCGGTCACTAGGGGCGCCTGGGTGGCTCAGTCGGTTAAGCGTCCGACTTCAGCTCAGGTCACGATCTCGCGGTCCGTGAGTTCGAGCCCCGCGTCGGGCTCTGGGCTGATGGCTCAGAGCCTGGGGCCTGTTTCGGATTTTGTGTCTCCCTCTCTCTCTGCCCCTCCCCCGTTCATGCTCTGTCTCTCTCTGTCTC